TTTAGATTTTTGTGATACACTACAGCAATATGTATCATGCTGCTCTAGACTTTTTGATTTGGTTGCTACACTTTTATGTACAACTGTACCTTCAATTTTTTTTTTCAATTCACGGCTTATAGATATTTTTCCTGGAGACTGTTGTAGAATCGCTATTTCAAATTTTTCCTTATCTTCAAAAGAAGGACTAGACCTATCATCAAAACTTCTATTTAACTTTGGGATTTTATCAATTTGTTTTGTGTCTTCAAAGCTTTTACTAGCTTTAGTAAGAGTTGATTCAAGTTTTTTTGGACTTTTTGCAATAAAGACATGATCCTCAGGTTTGCTTTTAATATCCGTTTCAATTATAATTTTTTCACCATCAGTCTTAACAGAAATTTTATCCTCAGGAGCAGGAAAAGCAGGTGGAATATCTTTCACTGGACTTATAATTGTTTGCTTCATCGCTGACTCATAAAGTTGCTGTTGTTTCTCTTTACGTTTTTCAATGTCCGCATCACTTTCCTCTTGTGATTTTGATCTTTCTTTGCTATTAGTCTTTTTAATTTCCAATTTTTCAATAGATCTGCTTAAATCTTTAGGGCGTCTTACTTGATTGAGATCTAATGACTTAGGCTTTCGTGCAACATCAGACTCGCTGCATTTTTTTGAATTATCAGTAACGAATACTGAATCAGGCACGTTTAATTGAGAAGGCGATTTAGAACGTAACGATCCGCTATCAAATGACTTAGCAGCTGATGGCAATATTTTTTGATCTGATATAACTTTTTTAGATTTACTTTTAGGCGACACTTTCTTGTTAGTTTTGATGATTGGTAATGACTGCTGTGTTATTAATTTAAGTTTCTGAGGAGACTTCTGCTTTGAAGGTGATTTTTCAGAATCATTTTTCTTGGAAGGACTCTTAATAATCCAATCCCTTTCCTTGTGCCCTTTAGCGCCTTTTCCTGACTTTGTTTTTATAACAAAGTTAGGTCTAACATGTTTTATGAGCTTTAATTTTTCTAACAATTCTATCTCACCATCATCTAATGTAATAGATTCTAACACTGGATCAACTGGCTTATTAGGTATTTCTAATTCATTTGTAACCAAATTATATTCTTGACTTTCATTATCTTCAATACTCTTTTCTTCCAACAACTCACCTTCTTCATTAAAATCAAATGTATCATCCTTAGAGGAAAATGCATTCATAGGAGGTAGTCTGTGTAACGAAATCACAGGGTTGTCCAAACTTTTGGCACGTCTTCCTGTGTTCGGAGACTCTTGCGTGGCCTTTTGTCTCTGTAACGATGCAAAAGCAGAACCTTCCGATAAGTTAAGACGGGCATGAGCAAAAAGAATTGCTGTGTGGCCTTTTCTTGGTAGTTCTGTTAACTCTTCTATCAATTTAGTTCTAGATGGCATCTTATTAACTATTATTTTGGGTTGCTCAATAGATTCAACAGGCTTTGGAATAATTGTTTCTTTAGGCTTAGATTTTGTTACTAAAGTATAAGGAATATCAAATTCTTCATTTCCTTCTTCCGGACAAGTTTCATAGATTTCATTATCTATATGTAAAAATTCACAACTCTCTAATATAGGAGAAGGTATTTTTTCATGATAGCCTTGATCAACAAATGTTTCGCCGTTTTGCCGGTGGCCCGGAACATAATCATCTTCTGAACTGGGAATTGAAATTGAACGTTCTGAAATGCGTCTTAATTCAGTACCAGCGTAAACCTGCAAAGGTTCAAGAGAAGGAGAATTATATCGATTTTCTAGCTCGACAAGACGTCGGCATTGAGGCGGAGAGCCTTCAATTTCAGTAGAGCTCATTGTTTGTCCTCTATGCCAAATGCCAGACGTGATTTTATCATATTCTGCTTGAAGAATGGGTTCCATATCTTTCCTGGATTGCGGCGGAGAAAATTCTAATCTAGTAGGCGTAGCTTCCGTCGATCCAAATACATCATCAGAGTCTAAACTTTCATCGTCCGAAGAAAAAGAAGTTATACGCATTTTTTGTTTATTTTTGTTTTTCACATTTTTCTTGTGCGGTTGCATTCGGGCCTTAATTATTCTTTTATTACCTTTTGTATCATTCTTATTATTTATATTTAATAATTTAGATGCACTATAATCACTAATTTTTGATCTTCCTTCACCTTTAGATAAATATTTTGAAATTCCTGGATGCAAACTTTCTGTCTTAGAACTAGTGGCTGAATCGCTTTCTATCTGACTAAGTTTTGAATTTAATGTTTCTAATAATAAGGGGTCCATATTCTCAGTTATATCTCGTTTTGGACTTGTTATAAATTGTGTAGGTGCTAGATTTTTCGTTACTTCCAATGTTACTGGATCTACTTTCGATAAATCAATATTTTGTGTAAAGAGAAATCCCGGTATATCATTTCTGTGGTTTATTACATCTCTATTGTTTCTTTCCTCAGCCTTCGGAAGAGCATTTTTGCGTGCATCTTTACCAGATGGCGATTTCGGAGACTTAGGACTACGAGGTTTTGTTTTTTGTTTCATCGTAAAGTCTAGTGGAGTTGGTGCTGTACCGTTCATTACATGTCTTTTATGGAGAATATATGGAATTTCAGCTCTGTTTAAATCATTTTGAAAACAATCCCGTCTAGATGAATCTCTTACATATTTTCGATCGTCAAAATTCTTAAAATAACTTTTAGGTAATTCGAAGTTTGCCGCACGTTTATCAGGTAAACTTTCATATGGTATTTTAGGCAAATCAAAATGACCGTGCGTTTTACAAACAGGGGGTGCGCTCGGAATCTGACGATATATGTAATCTTCATCGCTGGAATCTGCCGGTGTAAGATCAATCGATTTTTGATGCATTAACATATGCCTTCTAGAATTAGAACCAATTCTTGATCTATTAGCCAAATTATTTGGATCGCTTTTTGTACGTTCTACAGTTGCATGAGTATGTATCAAAGGAAGCATGGCTGCCTGAGATATTTGGGAATCTAATATTAGCTTGGGATTGTATTCATCAAAATGTGTTTTTGCCATTAACTCTTCCTTTCTAGTGTCTTTTTTTGAATTTATAATTGATGGAGAATCCTTCTGTTTATCAAATTCTGAAGGAAGTACTGTCGTAGAAATTGGATTTTCAATTTTTACAACATCAGGAATATTATAATCATTTAATTTATTTTCAATACTAGTTAGTGATTCAATTTTATCTTTGTCAAAACTAAAAATATTCTCACCATTTTGAGTACATGTATGATGTGTAGGATATCTGTCTTTATGTATTTCTGTAATTTCTTTATGCATTCCCGCAATATTCTCTGGCCAAATATGTATAGTTGATGTGGTTTTAGTTTCAGTATTTTTTGGTTTTCCTGAAATATTTTTCTTATAGAAATGAGCACGCATATGCTGCTCGGTCTCAACGTTTTGAAGAGTAATGGAATGTACATGTGATGTCTCCTTATTCTTATTGCTACTAGGAATTGTAGAATAAGTGCTATTTGAATCATAAAATTGAGATTTTGCAGTAGATTTCATTTCAGATAACAAACTATCATGAGATTTCATTTTTTGTTTAAAATTATCATAATTATAATTGAATTCATCACTAACAATTAAATCTACATTATCTAATTCCGTAGGAGTCATCCGAGCATCGAAATAATCACTTTTTGACTCCTGACTAGATGTACGCGATTTTTCTCCGACAATATTATTAATAGCATTTTTTATATGATCTAGCTCATAAGAACCACTCTTCGACTCTTGACTTGAATCTCGAGAGTTATAACCCGATCTATCAGAACTTTTACTTTTTAAAGTTTCTCTAGATTTTTTGCTATCCGTGTGGTAAACACTGTCATGCGACTTTTTGCTTGAATCTTGACTACTTTTACAATGTTTTGAATTATAAATGTCACTACAAGAATCTTGGCTCGATGTACGCGAGCTTAGAGCACGTTGTATTTCACGATAAAAATTTCCATCAGATCTAACAGACATTTTCTCACGAGGCAAATAACGAGGATCATCCACTGATGAAAAGGCATCCAATTGCATATCGTTAACGCTACGTGATTTAATTTCAACTCCAGATCTATATTTACAATCAACATCAGAAACGCTATCATCAGATGGAATATAATTTCCAGAATCTAACGAACAAGATCGTGCATATCCATGGTCAGATTTAGAACGCTTTATGTGATAAAAATGATCCTGAATGGATTTTTCTAAAACCTCGTAACTATCGTGTGATATATCATCATGAGAAATTGATAATTCAAAGGGACAACCAAAAGGTTCATAAGCAGAATTAGCCGAAGTGCCAGGATAGCTAGAAGAATACACTTTTTGATTTAGGAAAACAAAATCTCTATCAATATCTAACGAAGTTGTCATACGTGACCCATATAATACTTTGCGCGAATCATCATATCTTGTGATTGGAGAATCTATCCTGTCAACAGATAAAAGCTCAGTTATAAATCCATCAGTAGCGCGTCTTTTTGTACGACCGGATTCTTCAAAACTACTATCGTATAAATTTCGACAACTAACACTATGCAACCATGACTGGCTGTTGCTAAATCTAGCATTATATTGTTCAGCCGAGTAAAGATTAACGCGCGACAATTCATACTCTAAACGTTCAGAAGAAAGTTTTTGTTGCGGAGTTCGCGTCTCCGGTAAATCGCCAGTTGACAATGCTTGATATTTGGTTCCCCAATCACCGATATATGATCTTTCTGAACTTAAATCTCGCGGTAGAGAGCGTGTTCCATGATTACAGGGGGCTATTTCGACATGCGTGGTGGTGTCCGCAAGAGTATTCGTCGCATGTGCAGGTGTGGCCATGAACTTGTGCATGTGGGTGCGTATTGAAGTTAATCGCGGCGGAGGTGTGGGTGGTTTGCGGATATTGCTCGCAACAGCAGGAGGAATGGCTATTGGGGAACTGTTGCGAATAGTACTGGCAATGACACGGTGTGGACTCTGACCTGTATCGCAGTTTCTGATACGAGCAGCATGAATTAGGTCGGCATGTGCACTCGATGACTCCTGCTGATTCAGCGATCCGTTCTTGTTGTTGCTCACTTGGGATTGGAACGATTTGTCGTGTTCCTGTTGTATCAAAGCCTTCGATGCAACCAATGTCTGAACAGGTATGCTGGGAGTGTTGGACGAGTTGACAATGTGGCTGCTTGCAGCAGGCATCGCATACGTTTCCACCTACATTGAGCAATTTGAAATATATTTACATCCAAACCTAATGACAAGGCATTAGGAAGTATGAACTTTTTAAATAACAAAAAAAATGTGAGTAGAAAGTTCAATTATGAAATAAAAAAATGCATGAACTCATTCTTGAATATGAAAAAAAGGTTTCATAATAACAAAGAAATTTTGTTTTATTAGTACTCAATAAAATTGAGGAAAACTGCTTTGAGAACCAAGTGACAACAGTCATATACATCTTTAAATATTATCAATTTGCAAACATTTCTAGATAGATAAAAATATCTAGTCAAAGTGTTTGGTATCCATCCCGCATTGCGTTACAATCTTTAAAAATATAAAATTCATGCACTCATGGATTCAAAAAAATTTGTGACTCTTAAAATTGTCTGTAATATTTTTTTCCATATAATTTCAAATATCCGAAGTATTTAGATAAGTATGCTTCAGACATAAGTCAATTTGTCTTATATAAATTATAATATATATGAATGCAAATTTAAAACAATAGAATGAATTCTATTAATTTAATTTTTGTCAAATAATAAACAGGTTTTAATGCTGTATTGGTTTAAAGAAGATATGACAATCCTAACTTTAATCTGAAAACTGTTATTCTAACAATAAAGTTTATGTTTTGGGTTCTTTGTTAAAGTGAAAGCCAATAAATTGTGCAAGAAATTATAAATTGTCCACCAATATACTTGCTTATTCATCCAAAGTACCTTACTTACCTGAATACTGTTGAGAGTTGTGGCTGCGTGAGGATGCGCGGGACTGCTGCTGTAACCTGTACGTATGCTGCGGGGGGGTGATACTTCCGTTTCTCTCATCATCTGAGAACCCGACGTCGAGCTCCAAGAAGGAAGCTGACATGTTAGCTCCACTATATAAAACAAAAAAAAAAACTTTATATTTTTTAAAAAATATTTAGTTATTAAAAATGATAGAAAAAAAATAAATGGACCATGAGAATTAAAAACAAACATTATCAACCATGGATAAAAAAGTCAATAATGTTAATTGAAAAGCATTCGAAGGTAATAAACAAATTTTAATTAATTATTGCTATAGATCATAATGCCAATTATTGATATCGACCTCAACATATTTCTGTCATCTAATATACTTAAAATAAACATACAAAAAATATTCAAGAGAGTTTTTAACTCGAATATGGAACTACATATAATACACAATAATGACTAATAATAATTACCAGGGTCGGCAAGAGGCAGCAAAGGATTGGCGGATATACTGGCATTCACACTGTGGGCACTACTTGCAGACATTGAAGTCAAACCCGCTGACGAGTGGCGGAAAGACTGGGACCTGAGAAGAGACAGAGGATTTGGTTCTCTTTATTAGAATAATACGTTTAAATTTAGTTTTCATTTTTATATATTTCAAATAATATTTTGTACACATATTTCCTCTGTCTTAAATTTTCTCAAGAATATTCATTAAAATAATCAAGAAAAGCGTTTCCTATCTAGTTGTTAGAATAATATCTAATTCATTGTTAATATTTGCAAATCCAGCTACAACATTAAAATCTTTCAGAAAATCGAACTTTAAACACAGTGTAATACCAAGCTAGTTCTTAAAAAATCAATGCAAATATGTCAAGTTAAGATTTGAAATATCATTTGCCTTACACATAAAGATTATAAAAGCAGGCGTTGAAATTAAATATAACATCAAACGCGGTTAAATATGATTATTATGTAGTAAAATGTTCAGAATAATAAAGTGCAAGAGATCATTTAATTTATATGCAAAATGAAGAGCATTGAAAATTCTAAAACTATTGATGTGCCACACACAAGTAATTATTTCTATATGATTAAGTGAAGTTGCTTTTAAGTTTCACAATTAGTATTGTTTAAATCGTTTTATTCTTTATCCAATCCTCTTCTCTTCTAAGGCCAGCAGACATACAAGATAGCAAGCAAACAACATAAATATGTAACCAATTAGTAAAGAAAAGAAAGAACAAACTGAAATACTACTAGATTGATATGAGTATTTATGCTACAAGTATTAAATTATTTATATCAATAACTATAAATATAAAAATGCAGGTCAGTGCTACGATTATTAAAGTTTAACACAGTATATACATAGAGCATAAAAAATAATAATTACAAAGAGTAACAATCATTTTTATTTACCTTTGGAATGTTTGACGCTTCACATAATTATCTCGTACATATTCTACCATTTGTCTTTGAGTTTTTCCACTATATCTACAATGTTTAAGATAATTATTTAATTAACTAATTTAAAATAATTTATGAAACCGTTTCAACTTCATATTTATTCATACCTAAATGAGCTACCTCTTGACAGAACTCTTGTCTTATGTCTTGGCACCCGTTTGACTGTTGTACATCTGAAAAATCCATGATTTTCAACACATTTCTTCCAAAAATTTTTGCATTCATTCCTGCCATCAAATATAAATTCCATTGTATCCTTGTAATGGCCCTGAAAATTTTAAAAACACCGGAAATAAATTCGAATATCAATTGAAATTAAATACAGATGCTGCATATGGAGTTTTTGAAGTTACATTTTATTTCACTTACATATACGTCATGATGCAATTTAACAAGAAACCGTTTTCTCTTAAATGAAATTTTTCGTATCTTGGCCCAAGAAAATGTATTAATCTTTGTAGTATTTTGAAAAACAACAATTCCCATGTGGGCAACTGCCAAATTTAAAGGTGCCCCCTCATTATCCTTAGCAGGATGCATTTTCATACCTAATAAAATATTGTATGGCATAAATTTATATTTAAATAAATATAAATGAATATAGAGATAAATTCTGTAAATCATCACATAAAATATAAAAACACATTCAATCTCATTCTTAAAATACCGTATGATTCACATCTCCTAGCGGTTTCTAAAAGATTCATATCTGCTTGAGCAGGTGATTGTCCCCTATAAATAGATAATATGTACTTGACATTATTTTATCATAATTGTTTTCATTTATATATTATAAATAAATTATACATATGCTTTTTGTGGTTTTCCATTATCCTCCGTTCTAAAATATCATCTTGTTTTGGTGTGAACTTATAATGTGACAGATAGGTATGATTAGGATAATCCTCCGCCACATAGTCGCCACATTCAGCTGAAATGAATTTTCATGAACATTTAAAAACGAACTACTTTTATTTAAAAAAAATTGAAGAGTGAATTCATATACTGTTTTTTAATCTAATATATCTTGGAAACGTTCATAACAAAAATCTGTGATATACAATAGTCACTGTTTATGTATTTTTCATATGTGCCAAATCAAGTATCAATAAACAGTTATTACACATTTCCTATTTATATGCTCTAAATAAAGTAAATAAAGTATACTTACATTGAACAATATAGCTAGATAATAAAGCAGCTGTATGTGCATTGCATGTTAATGAGCCATCACTAAGATCCCTTTTTATCTGCAGACAGAACAAATATCTCGTAAATTCTTCTTCTAACTGTCCGGGATCTGGTGTATAAAATTTCACACAAAATCTAAGAAAAGGATCAGCCAGCGAAAATCCAACTTGTCTGCACATGGGTTTTTCCAAATCGAGCCAATACTAGTAAAGAAATAACAATTCTTAACAATGTAGCTATCTATGAATGATCTTTGCAGTAAATAAATATTTAAAAATAATTGTTTGCTCATCATAAATAATTTGCTCAAGTACCACATCTGATTTTCGCGCAATATATTTTCCAATGAAAACTAGAATAATGTATTGAAATATTCTAGGATGAAAACATAATAAAAAAAGATAGAGTTTATATAACAAATAATAAATTGAATGAATTTGGCGAGTGAAGAAAGGATAGTAATTTATTCTATTACTTTCTAGAATTCAAGGTAATGATTTGATAATGAAAGATAAAATGATAATATATACTCTATAACAGAATTGATTTATTTCAATAATAACTGAAATATATCTTTCCAATGAAACAAATAACATAACTAAATTGAAGTATAGCAAACAACGATATCAATTTGATTTTGTATTATAACGATCACGATCGCAGCTCCGTATAGCTCATATACGATCGATTGACAAAAAAAATCTATATATTAAACAATATGTAGCAAAAAATTAAATTTTGGAATCACTTACTTTTGTACCATTATGTTCCTCATATTCTAAACCAAAATAATCTTCTTCTAACAAGTTAAGCTGCCTGCAAACTTGTTCAAATAATAATCTGCCCAGAGCCTTTGACTGAAACAAAATAAGTTTACAATATGATAGAAGTCAACGGACTCAAGCGGACCTACGGTTATATAGTATACATATGGTTTCTAATATCTAAAATAAGTTTCTTTCAATTTTCGGATTATTTTCAATTCGTTTCATATAGTGACATGAAAACCCTAATAAGCATCAAGATGAAATAATTATAGCTTAGAAATGAATTGATATCATGATCAAACCGAAATGGTCAAGTGCTCTCTATAAAATAGAGGTCAAAGTAATTGAGCAGAGAATTAACAATGTCGGGAGTATAGATCGTCAGATCTATAGCTATTTGAAATAAATACCAAGGCTTTGATAGAATTAACCAAATAAAAAAAAATATTTATGGAGCATATATTTTGTCCGTACCAAATGAAGCACTTGGCTTATTAAATTATTTGGATAAAATTCTATTAAATATTTGGATTAAATTCCAAAAACTTGTTTATTTTTTAATTATATATATATATATATATATATATATATATATATATATTGTCATATGAAAAAGATACTTCTATTGTGTGTAGTTTGTCTGCATTAAGAGTATAGCCGAATATAGATTATTATCATAATATGCATTAAACTTCTGATAAAATATTATACATTCTGGTTTCTATTATCTATTAAATTAATATGGAGAATTTTAAGATATTCATCTAGTATTTTCATATAAATTTTATCATTGAAATAAGTTACAACAATAAATGAAAACATTACATTTTTAATTAAAATTAAAGTAAATTCCATAAATCCTTAATAGATTCAATTATACACGTATTTATACAAACATTCTAAAACTACAGATTTAAAAAATATTTAAATGTATGTTATATTTGGACATCAAATTCTGATAACTAGAACAGATGGTATTTGATCAGTCATTGTAGCCACACCCACAACAGTTGTAGTTGTATAGATAGTTGTGTAAAAATTAATAAAGCATCAAAGATACTCGCACCAAAATATCTGTGCAATCTATATAGTAAACTCTTAACCGTCATAAATTTCTTAATAACGATTTCGGAAAAAAATTAAATACTATAATAAACAGTTTTAGAATTTTATTGTGCACTATGCGGGCTATTGTAGGAAAAATAGACATTCGATTGAATTATCCTCTCGCAATAAAAGATTAATAAGATATATATGAATGAATGTATAATTTACGTAATGATTGTGCGCATTCGACCGATTTTCATGTTTTTTTTTAATTTGGTCCATTTGTTCCGAATAGAAAATGTTAAAATGGTAATAAAAGGAAAGAAAATCATTTACACCTGATTTAAGGGAGTTGTTCTTTTTTTTGTTACAAAAAATGCAAGGTATTTGTTTTTGTTTTTCTCGAAATGTATTTATCATAGAGACATGCGTTTTTTTTAAACAAAAATTACAAAATCATACAATATTAAGATATTTTTTATAATTTTTTTTCGCCGTCATTTTATAACCAGGGGGCGCCAAAGTGGGCATTGCAAAATCGATCTCTTTTGCGGCGCCACAGATAAATCCGTTGCGCATCGCCTGAAACAAAAAAAACGAAACTACGTTGAAGAAGAAGTTTGAATCCAGTCCCCCTACCAAAATGAAAGAAAAAAAGCAAGAAGGAAAAAATGGCAGCAATTTTAAAAAAAGTGTTAAAAAGGGCCTTTTTTTGGGACGAGAAGCTTCGCAAACATTTTTTGCGTAATGTTATGAAGTTGTTTGAGGATGCAAGTCGATCCGACTTGTAGTTTTTTTTTAATTTGTGGCAGCGCATTGAAAAAAGTCAATTTGAGAAAAACGTATTTAAGTTGTTAATATAATGTACCATTTAATTTGATGTACTAAATACACCATGGTGTTCAAAGATGCTAACACATTAAAAAGGTCATGTGCATGATGTATTATAATGAAAAAGAGAGCAGCTGGCATACAGTAGCTCGCGGAGCAATGAAAAAAACAGTTTCAGAGGATCATACATATAGATATATATATATATATCTATAACTTCGTCAAAAAATAGATATTGAGATGATTTTTTTTTAAAAATAATTATAAGGTTTTTAGCTTTCATAATATCAAAAAATCTCCAAATCGAAAAAAATAAATAAAAACCGAACAACCCCCTTAAAATGTTCACTGATTTCGTCAAAATAAAAGTCTATCTTCCATAACAAATTAAATTTTGCGCTCAAATTTTAATAACAGTATCCAAAATGTGTTACCGCTCGTGATCTAAGAATTAAAATGCTTAATTTTAACAATAATCAGAAACAACATGATATGTCAAACTATTCAGATCAAACTATAAATGCAAGCATGAAAAAAATTCCATTCTCCCACCTGAATTTGAAAAATCGTGGTAGTCTCGTCTAACATTAGAACTCTTATGGCCAACATTTTTCCCGGTTTTCTTGGAGTTCCAGGCACACTCGACCGGCCTAAGGACGAAGAAGAGGCTACCCCATCTACTCCAGCCGGTGTGCTATGCGAATGATGCATCATGCGACCAGATCCTGCACCGTGCCTACGATGGTGCGGTGATATAGATGATGCAGCACTGCGGAGCGAACGCTGCGATCCACCCAGCGTTACAGATTCGCCACTCATAGCTCCGGAAGAGCGATTCTTCTGTATTGTTTCCTTAAAGCGGTTAAGAGCCGCAACGGTAATATCACTTTAGGGCGGCGGTCAAAATCATTTGTGAAGACAGCGGACTGAGCGATGGCATCTGTAAAAAAACAAATGGTGTAATTAGATAAAATCCTGTAAATAAAGTCATTGAAATTAATATTCCTTAGCAAATAGTTCTAGCTAGGAATGTATGCAATGCTCAGTAGTAGGTTTACTTTTCATGGATTCAATTATCAGTAAATCGGCTTTCAAACCGAAAATAAAAACCACTTTGGCATACCTTACAGCTAGAAACAATATGTACATATATATTTACTAGCAAACCCGACGAACTCCGTTTCGCCACCAGACGGTTTCGTGAGAAAGATTAAGAAATTTTTTGTTTGTTTTATCTTTAAAAAAGAAAAATGTGATTTTATTATACAACAGTAATGAATTTATTTCGATTACAAAAATGAAGTGTTTTTTAGTTGAACTTCTCTAAGTAAATGAAAGTGAATCCGCAAATTATCCGTTTCATTGAAGTGCTCTTTGGTAAACCACATTTTTTGTTTTTTGGTCTGACGTTAACACAAATAAAGCGGATGGTTTTCCAACTCGAGAACAAGCAACGTATAACTGCCCATGTGAGAAACAATGATTTTCTAAATAATCTATTTGAAATTTATCCCGCAAACACTAAGCGACTTGTTATTGCGAACGCAAGGCGAACTGGAAATTGCAATCGTTTGAAGTCTAACGGAAGACCAGTCGGAATCATTGGTATGTCACCAAATCGCCAGCAATTTTTGATTGAATGGTGAAATTCAGTGCGTGTACATCATTATTCTTTGCGGCAAGAATTGCTCGTTGACTTAACCAAACATAATTCTGATAATTCTCTCTAATGTCATTACTTGAATTTTTAATTACGGTGCGTGAAGTTCCAGCAATTTGCATTAGGGCACATGCACCACTAATTTTCTTAGCTATAAACCTTGCGGAGCCCGAGACCTTTCCAACGAATGCAAAATTGTCGAAATCAGTTCGTGCGTTCTGAAGTTATTTCGTCAGGAAGGAAAACCCGACTTATTTTTATATACGAGGTCTGTTCAAAAAGTACCCGGAATTTTCGTTTTTTCAAAAAAATATTTATTTATTCGTCTACATTAATGTGGTCCCCTTCAAAGTAGTCCCCCCCAGATATAATACACTTATGCCAGCGTTTTTTCCAATTTTCGAAGCACCCTTGATATTCACTTTTTGATATGTCCTTGAGCACTCTCAGCGATTTTCTTCAATCGAGGAAAACCGCCGTCCTTTCATGGGTCTCTTCAACTTTGGGAATAGGAAAAAGTCACACGGAGCCATATCTGGTGAATTTTTGCACTTTGCAACACTTTATTTCATTTTTTACGCAAAATTTAATACAAATTCTTTGACTTTTCAATTCTTCCATTGTAAAAATCGCCGAGCTCAGAAAAACACGTCGAACCTTAGCGACTACCACAGACAAAGTAAACAGTGAATATAGCTGAAAATTTCATCATACTTTAGGGGCATGTATACCAACACAATAAAAAAAAAATTGACAATCAGACACTCCAGACCCGCGAAATTTAATTATTAGTAATTCCGGGTACTTTTTGAACAGACCTCGTATATAGAAGAAGAAGATAAATAGGCGTCGACGCCGATGCTCATGCATCAGTAAATAAAATAAGAAATAATATTTAAAATTGACAATGTTCTGACGAAGGCATGTATGTAACAAAATAATAGGAGCTCTGCTCTAAAGCAGGTCCTTGATCAAATCAGGAAAGTGTGAAAGATGTCCCTATTTAACAAAACATTAATTGGGAATCCAATTTCAATAGGGAATTACCAGACCAGAATGAGAATTAATCAAGAGAAGATATATAGCATGCTATCAAGATAATGCAAGACAAAAGTATCATTGCTCAAAAATTTGTACGGAATGCCATAGAACGCCCACCTTATACTCCATAATTCGAACATATGGTTATTTATTTGATTCTGTGTAGCACAATTTTTAGACCAATAATTCGTAATTCAATCTTAATAGAAAAGACCAAAATAATCGACAGAAAATGTGTAGTATTTGACCAAAAACCCGTTTAAACGGAATACCATGGCCCACCCACCTTAGAATTGGAATGTATGGATAATTATTTGTTCCTGCACGGCATAATTTTCGAGGCAATAAACTTGCACTAAATGAGGAGCCAAATCACCTCAATCAGCTTCTTGATATAATAGACAAACATTAGTATATATGAGCATGATGATTCTAGATCTGAATGAACATGGAATGAACCCGATTTCTAATTTTATAATTATTTTGTTCATTACATGAAAATTATCTTACGTTACACAATAATAAGCTATTAAATATGTGTATATGTCAATGAATGCATATAAAATTTAATAGGTGATTATTTTTAGTATCGAATATTTCAACAGTGAATTAATTTCTTTAAAGTTGGAGCGTTAACTCATAAGAGACCAATTATATTTCATTACATTGTTCATTAAAAACTCATACAAAATAATTATTATAATTGAAACCACTGTCGGTCAACCACAGCAAACAAAAATTAGATGATATAAATTTGTTGATTTTTTTTCAATAATAACGAACACTAATTATGCGAAACATAAATTATGGAAACAACGAATGTACTTTTTGGAAAAGATTGCAATAAAAGAATTTATCATAGAGAACATTTATCATAGAGAATTTATCATAGAGAACAAAGATAAGTGTAGTTTTCAAATACATATTTAGGAAATATACAACACGTAAGGTGATAGATACTTTTCATAATATAAATGCAGCATCAATTATATTTCTTTACCTCCATAAAGAAAATTTGTTATGAAGAAACATAGAAAAAAATGTTATTATATGAAAAGCTTCTCATAATTTATATATATATATATATATATATATATATATATATATATTATAAATATCATATATTTGTTTTCGGTATTTGTACATAATTTTACATTCAAATTTATTTCGCCTATGATTTCATAAAGACAACTTGTATATAGTTTTCTCATACTATTAGGGCTAAATGCGCAAAAACAAATAAGTCATCGCGTACAAAATGACATAAACACGATAAAAGACATAAACATAACAAAAATAAGCAAAAATATCATTTTATATACAATTTAATCTTTCTGGTTGAAAAAGTAGGTCGCCCTTTAATGGGTGATAGTTGACCTATTTTAATGCACCCCTTAAATTTTATAAAAATGGATTAAGCTACAGCATGCAATTTTGAAAAACAATTTTTGTCAATCTTTATTATTATGAAAATTATTTTTTGACTTACTTTTAATAGATCCAATTATAAATCACTCATTTAACGAATGTTTTTTTTTTGCACAAGTCATAGAAATGCTCCAATAACAACAATTCAAAAAAATAAATCTTTGTTCATTATAATTACTTTATGTCTAAACTTAAATTAATAATTAATTGAGATAATGTAGA